AGTTCAAGCCCACAAGCTACTCCATGGGAGAAAGATAAGGCTTTCTGCTTCCCCAAGATTTAAAACGCCTCGCAAACCCTATACAGGGTCACTATGAGTTGGAAACGACTTGAGGGCACTTAACAACAGTACCACTTATTGTGAAAGTTATTACAGGAAACAGAATCATGGCTTTGTATAGTCAGCATATCTGAATTTATACTTATCTCTAAAAAAGGACCTAATAGATTATCTCCTGATAAAATTATCTTTGAATGAAGAAACAAGTAATAAGAAGAAATGAGAAACTTCCTTAGACCTATGTGGAAACCAGGATTAAAGGCTTAGAATGGAAACATTATGACTGGAAGAAATTTTACCAATCATGAAGTCCCACCCTCTTCTTAAAAAGACAGTAATATCTAGCTCCAGAAAGCAAGAGACTTGCAAAGATCCTACAACTGCTTACTGACACAGTCTGCTTCTTGATTTGCCATATTAATTCTTCACCAAAAAAAAGATACATGAAAATGGTAGCCTTAAACATAAAGAAAAACATGACATAAAAAATACATATCCCATATAATTTTTTGAGATATTAACTTAAACTGGATTAGATAATAAATGTTGTTGTTATTAAGTGCTGTGGAGTTGGTTCTGACTCATAATGATCCTGTATACAGTTTCTGAGGAGTGGGTGGTGGGTTTGAACCTTATGGTTTGCACTCCAGTGCTTACCCTACAGTGCCACCCCAGGACTCCACATTATACCTTTTAGCAATCTAACCCACCAAGGTTTTAATAGATAAACAGTGAAAAGTCTAAAAATCAATGAAAAGCAAACGATTAATACAAAACATAATTATTTTATAGTCTATGTAATTTAAAATGGAATGAAGCCTAACACTTTCATTGCCAGTTTAATACGGTGAAAGTAATAATACACCATTTTCTCAGATGGACACTACTAGAGTGCTGGCAGAGCGTAAACTGATAATAGATATGATAATGTGTGTAAAGAGCTTGAACTGTTTGTACATGGGAACGCAAGAGAAAATTCCACTTCTAGGAACTCTATACAAATAAATCATAAGAAACATCAATTTATGAACAGGTATTTACATTGATTTTGTTTATAATAATATTTTATTTCCAAGTAGGAAAATGTATAATGAAACTTTGGTATATGACAGACTACATTGCTATTATATTATTAAACATGATGTTCACAATTAGCTATCAATGACATGGATAAAACTTACTGTACAGTGGCAGGTGAAAAAGTAGAATATGAAGTTGTATTTCCAAGTGTGATATTCACTATGATTTAACAAGCCATATACAGAGGAAAAACATGAAGTAAAAAATGTAAATAGTGATTACCTCAATCACAGTCCTTTTAGGTTCTTTCTATGCTTTTCTGAATTTTCAAGCAAATTACTTTTATAATTGGAAAATAGCAATAAATGCTTTAAAACTTTCATATCAAGTAAATTAATAAAACTTCATTCCTATGATTAGAATTCACTATATAAAAGTACAGATAATATTTACCTCATTATCATCAGGAACTGGTTCATATAAGGCTGGTATCCAAGCAAGAATATTGCAGTCTCTGCTACCGCTATAAAGTTCCTACACAGATAGAAAAGATGCGACGTGAAACAATTTGAAGTTGGTAACAAAATCTAAAATGAACTAGATCAGTGTTTAAAGGATTAATGATAATGTTAGATTAATTCTATTTCTACTCCCCAAAGAAATTAGATCCAATACCCTTTTCTCTTTGCTTTCCAATGTATAGAAAGTCTGTCTTTGTATTTAAAAAATACCATAAGGATATGTAGGAGCTCAGAATATAAGGTAAGAAATTTTCACAAAAATACTCAACATCCTCATGGGACCAGAGTAGTCACATATTTCAAATATCATCATAGAGAAAGAAGGAAAAACAAAACAAAACAAAACATTTTGTCCTTCTGTCAATAACTGAGCTTTAACAAAGACCTCAGTGGAGGAATCATATGAGCTTCTACCTAACAGAGGCCAAATATTGACAAAATTTTATTTAGTTTACAGCTGCTTAACCGGCTACTGTTCAGTAGATGACCTTGAAGGTTCATATCCGATAGCTGTGGGATAATTTACTTTTAAAGTGGAATCTCAGGCTGATGCAGTTTATGTTAATATCATCACGTATCAATAAGGAGCTCTGCTGGCACTGTTGGATAGCACTAAGTTGCGTACCACAAGAGGCCAGCATTTCAAACCTACCATCCATTCCATGGGGAAAAGATGAGGGTGGCTCCTCCCATAAAGACTTACAGCCTTGCGAAACCCCAAGGAGCAGCTGTACTCTGTCACTATGAGTTGAATCAACTGGAAGGCAGTAGGCTATGGATCAATATGGAAACACCATTTGCATACAGTTTGAAAATGCTTAACTCTCTCCCTCAAAAAATTACATAGCATGAGAGATTGGTTATCATGTGGAAAACATTTCTATGGGCAGAGAAATAAAGATTCTCATATACAGGGCATAAATTTGTATGATCTATCTGGGGGAGAGTACTTCAATATGTACATGTATATATATATATATTTTTTTTTTTAGTATATATTTCTAGGGAGTTATGTAGAAGGTACACATGAAATTCAAGGATACCATCAATGTAATATTTAGAATAAAAGACAGAAATAAACACCCAATAGTAGGGGTATAATTATAAATAAATGTATGTTGTATTCATATAATGGAATATGTAAAACCACTAGCAAGTCCAGTGACTATCCTACAGCATCGCTCTAAGAAGAAAAACAACAGCAAACACACAAAGATGGCTCATGGCAAAGCCTGAATGACTAATATAGAAATCTATACAAATATTCCTTAATATTCTTTTTTTCCACTGTTCTGGTATGTAATTATTCTTCTTTTATTACTGCTCATCTCAAAAATGATTTGATGTATGGCACACTGAGGGTTTCCTTTAAAGTAAGGGTTCTGACTAAAGAGAAAGTAAGATTATGAAGTTAACTATAGGAAATAGCTTACAGATGTTAAAAAAGAAATTAAACTAAATTAGATTTAGTTCTGCATTATCAAGTTTCCTAAAGAGAAGAATTGTATAAACTGTATTGTAGAATCTAGAATATATGGTTACACTAAGTGTACTTTGCAAAGATATGTCCAAATGTTCTGTATCCTTGGGCAATTTAGATTCCCTGAGAAGTAAGATATACACCTATGATAAGTAACTCTGATAAGCTCATAAGGCAATTCCAGTTAAGTACTGCCACATGACTGCAGGCAGAGATGATTCTGAAGATGTTCAATAGAAAGAGTTTGGAAGAGACAGCACTGTACATCACAATAATTAATGAGGCTTTACTGAGAAAAAAAGATTCGAACTTTGAACTTTTTGAGGTAGATATAGGGGTTCATCTGGGAAATTAATTTTATTTTTTAATATAAAATTAAATGGTACAAGTGCTCATATGCAAAAAAATTATCCCAGTTAAGTTGTATAGTATTAAATTGACTCATACATAATTCTGAAGCCATCTGAAAAATCTATCCTGTATTATATTAAATAAACCCTAGTTCAAATGCACTTTAAAAATGTAATGCTTCAGGATGAAACCACAAGTTACTCTTTTATGTATAACTAGTCTAGCAAGCTACCGGAACACTTAATATCCCTAAGTATTATTCTTACCTGGAAATTAGGCTGAAATACACAGCAGTCAACACTTTTATAATGTCCCTTAAGCATAGTTATCTGTTCTCCTGAGTAAACTGTATAAACAGCAATGGTGCTACCATATGGTACAAAAACAAATTCTGAACTGCAGCCACAGGAGACGGTGAATTTCAATCCTTTTCTACTGTCATTACAAATTTTCCCATAGTTCACCTGTAGAATATGAAATCACAGTTACTTATTTCTTAATTAATTAAGGCAAGAAAAGACAATGAGAAATACTTACTTCACATATAATAGAGATAAATGGCTCTTTTAAATATATAGAAAATAATCACTGTCGTAATAGGAAATAAAAGTATTAAAAAAAAACAAGGCAAATATTCACATCGACAGAAATAAAAATGCAAATTAAGACAACCCTAAAGAATTTTTTTTTTTTCTTCACCACTCATCTGTCAGTTTGCCATACTGTGGTGGCTTGCATGTTGCTGTGATGAAAGCTATGCCATGGGTATTTTAAATACTAGCAGGGTCACCATGGTGGAAGGTTTCAGCTGAGCTTCCAGACAAGACAGACAAGGAAAAAGGAGAGACAGACTACTTACAAATATTTAGTCACTTAAAACCTTGTGAATAGCCGTGGAACACTGTCAGCACCAGAATACTGAATACTGAAATAAGATCAGAATATTGAATACTGAAACAAGAGCCCCAGAATACTGTCAGATATAATGCTGTAAAATGAGCCCCTCAAGTTGGAAGGCACTTAAAGTGTGACTGGGGAAGAGTCACCTCCTCAAAGTACAGTTGACCGTGATGATACGAATAGAGTATAGAGTCAGGACCTTCATTACTGATGGGGCATAACTCAAAATGAAGAGAAACAGCTGTAAACATCCATTAATACTCCGAACATGGAATGTATGAGGTATGAATCTAGAAAAATTGGAAGTTGTCAAAAATGAGAGGGAACACATAAACACTGCCAACCTAGGTACTAGTGAGCTGAAATGGACTGGTAGTGATCTGACAATCACATGGTTTACTATGCTAAGAATGACAGATTGAAGAGGAATGACATCACATTCATCATCAAAAAGACCACATCAAGATCAGTTTTGAATTAGTGCTGTCTGTGATAGGAAAATATCCACACGCCTACAAGGAAGGCCAATTAATACCACAATTATTCAAATTTACGTACCAACCACTAACACCAGTTAATACGCTGGACTGCAAAGTCGGTTTAAACTACAAAGTCAGTATTTCATATTCACCAGTCACTCCTCGAAAACCCTATACAGGTTTGCTATGGGTTGGAACCGACTCGATGTCACTTAGCAACAACCAACTTCTTCAGTCTGAAATTGACCAAATTTGCAATTAAGATGTATTGATAATTACTGGTGAATGGAATACACAGGTTGGAAACAATGAATGTTTAGTAGTTGGAAAATGTGGCCTTGGAGATAGAAATGATGCTGTAGATCACATGACCAATGACTTCTTCATTGCAAATACCTTTTATAAACAACATGAAAGACTACTATACACATGGACCTCACCAGATGGATGGAATAGAGAGAATTCAAATATAACTACATCTGTGGAAAGAGAAAATGGAAAGACTTCATATCACCAGCCAAAACCAGGTTGGGGAAGATTGTGGAACTCCAGAGCATCAATGCTACAGCATTACATCAAGAATCTGCTATCTTCTTTTTTGTTGTTGTTAGGTGCCATCGATTCGGTACCTACTCACAGTGACCTTTTGCACAGCAAAATGAAACACTGCCCGATCCTGGGCCAACCTCACTACTGTTGCCACACTTGAGACCACTGACGCTAGAGCTGCATTTCTTTCAGGCGAATGTCACCTATACTCATTGAGGACTTCCCTGCCTCCCAACTTCCCATTATATCCTATCCTCTTTTCCTTGCTTTGCTTTCCCTTGTAACACTCTCTCCATCTAACATAATATCCATCCATCCATCCATTGATTTGTCTTTCTTCCCCTACCTGAAATGCAAGCTCCACTAGGGCAGTATTTTTCAACGTTCCGTCTATTGATGTGTGCTTTTCGTTGAATTGATTCTGATTCCTAGTGATATCATATGACAGAAGATAACTTCTAGAGTTTCCCGGGTGGAACACTTTATGGGTACAGGTGACTAGATTTTATTCCATGGAGCAGCTGGTGGGTTCAAACCCACCGTTTAGTGAGCAGTTGATCATTTAACCATTGTGCCACTAGGCAAGTAGTAAGTGCTCAATAAATATTAAATAATTATTAATAACACGAGAAAAGTGTCACCTAATCAGAAGCCTAGTACAGGGTCACTTGAGTCAGAAACAACTCAGTGGCACTTAACAACAATGATTACTATTATTATCAACAATTTCTAAACTTTTATTAACTTTATTTTAAAAATTACTACACAGTAGGTACACATAGCAAGGACCACGACACGCAACTGGGCTTAAAGAAGATCATGGAAAAACTCCATTAACTTTTCTTCAAAAATTTTTTTTTCTTTTAACCTTTTTATTGTGAATTGAGTGACGGTTTATAGATAAGATCATTAACCTCACAGTCAACAAGTTATACACTTTGTTTCATCTCAGTGATTACTATCCCTCCCCTGCAGCAACAGTTATACTACTTCCTCCCTGTGGCTCCCTGTTTGCATCTTATATTTCACAAATGAACAAAGCAAAAATATTTGATGTACACACTGTTGTTAGGTGCCACTGAGTTGGTATGGACTCATAGAGACCCTATGCACAACAGAACGAAACATTGCCCGGTTCTGCCCATCCTCACAATCGTTGCTACGTTTGAACCCACTGATGATACCACTATGACAATCCATCTCACTGGGGTTCTTTCTCTTCTTCAGGGACTGGTCCCTCCTGATAATATGCCAGAAGTATGAGAGATAAAGTCTGGTCATTCTGGCTTCCAGGGAGTATTCTGGCTGTATTTCTTTTAAAACAATTAATTTGTTTTTTT